TGACACAGGTACCTAGTGTTCTATTTGCATTTTTTTGTGCTGTTTGTGCGCACAGGTATTATAAGCCTTGTGTTTGTAAAAGGTCTTGGAGGTCTTTCAAAGTGTAATCCAAACAGGTTTGATGAGTTCAGCATGTCATAGACAGCAGTGCGTGAATTATACAGTGACTTATATATTAGTATCAGTCAGTCAGTCACACACACACACACACACACACACACACACACACATGTATATTATAACTATAATATATAACCGTTTTTGAAAGAAGTCTCTCACAATGGCTGCATTATTGACCAAAAATACAGTAAAAAAACCTGTAATATTGTAAAATATTATTACAATTTTTAAAAACTGTTTTATATTTTAACATACATTAAAATGCAATTCATTCCTTTGGCAAAGTTGATGATTATTATTATTTTTTTTAAAGATACTCCAGTTTTCAGTGCCACGTGATCCTTCAGAAATCATTCAAATATGCTGATTTGGTGATCAAGAAACATTTCTTATTATTATCAATGTTGAAGACAGTTTGTGCTGTCTAATATTTTTGTGGAAACCATGATAAACTACCTTTCAAAAGTTGTGTAAGCGGGTTCAATTTTTTAAACTTATATTCACCAAGGATGTATTCAATTGACCAGAAGTGACCATAAAGACACGTTTAATGTTACAAAAGATTTCCATTTCAAATAAATACTTTCTGCTCAACTAAAACTGAAAAAAAAAAGAATCACGATTTCCACAAAAATATTAACCATCAAAAACTGTTTTCAACATTTACACTAAACATCAATTATTAATAATAAAGCACGAAATCAGCAAACTGCAATAATATTTCACAATATTACTGTTTTTTAATATAATAAATATAAAATATTACATTTGTAATTCAAGAAAGACGTGTTTCATGAGCTTTTAAAATATGCAAGTTTATGCTAAGTGTATGCATTTCTTTACGACCCCCCAACATTAGGTAAACCAAACCCTTCCACCCTGGTAAACCATCCAAAAATTCACACTCTGATAGACGGCAGGCCATGAACGAGTCACTTTTGAACACAGTGACACTGTTTGTGCTACCACAGTGATTTCACATGCCTCAAAGTCCTTTGTTTCCTGTTTCGCAGTATTCGACTGGGTTGAGCATTACGCACCTGGATTTAAAAAGGCTATAGTGGGCAAAGACATCTTGACTCCTCCTGATCTTGAGAGGGTCTTTGGTCTCACTGGGGGGGTATGAATATTTAAATTCAATAAACATGAACATGGACTTTTTGTTCCCTCATAACTTTTTTTTCACAGTCATACAGAATCTAATAACTGATTTGGACTTTTATTCGGAAGTTAATTGTGGTATATTTGCACGTCGTATCATTCCAAACATTCATTACATGCATTTTTTTATGCCACAGAATATATTTCATGGCTCAATGTCTTTGGATCAGCTTTACCTGGCGAGACCTTTGCCCTCTGTCGCAGACTACCGCTCACCAGTCAAAGGACTGTACTTATGTGGCAGTGGCAGCCATCCAGGTCTGTGCCTGAATAAATAAAAGCGAAAACAGTACGTATTGGGTTTAGAAATGTCATCAGTGTGATATCATGTTTCATAAAACCAGGTCAGGTAAATGTTGAGCTTGACGTGCATGACCTCCCCTGTGTTTTCCAGCATTTATGTGAGTTTGTCTCATTCAGGTGGAGGCGTTATGGGTGCAGCTGGCTGGAATTCAGCTCTCAAAGTTCTAGCAGATTTCAAGCGACTGTGATCTTGGCCTTCAGTGGGGAATATCATTTTCCAAAGGGATATTTTAATGAAAAGAGAGATGAAGACAAATAATAAGTGTTGTTAACATTGTATGTGTTTTCTTCTATATTTTAAACACTCCCATAATCTGTTCCTAAAATATGACGTTTATTTTTCAGTGAAATTTTAATAAATGTAAATTAATCCATAGACCTTAGTCAGGGTAGCGCTATATTTACTTTTTGACAGGAATGAAAATGAGTTGTGAGGGACTGAAGTACAGTGTGTTCAGTGGATTCTGCTGTGGTATATAATAACATACTGATTGGTCAGCTGTCGAAACGTCTTTCAGAAAAAAGTAGACATAATTGCGAGTTGTAATAATTACATGATCTAGGACCATAATACAGTGTGTGCCATTGTAAAGACTGTAAATCTATCCCTCACAGCCTCGTTTTTTTTATCTGTGTTAAATTCAATATGGTGTCTAACCAGACTAAGGAATTGGCTACTTTTGCAGGTTTTGTACAACTTGTGATGGACCGTGTGACTAGAAACCACACTGAATGTTCTCACAAAAAGCTGTGACATTGTTTTGAGAATAAATAACTCATTTGGTGCTATGAAAGTGGGCTGGTGTTTGAAGCTTTATAGTTTTTTTCCCCCTTCTAAACACTTTTTAGTATTTCTCTGTGGTGATGCTAGTAGTTCAGAACTGCAGAATTCACCTTTAGTAAATATATTACAAAAAATAATATTAGAAGGATTTCTATAATGCAAATAATTGATCAATTTACATAAATTACAGCACTCACACACACTCTAGAAAAAGAAACAATTTAAGACTGTTCGTCACTGCATGCTAACCTGTGTAAAACTATTCCTGCAGTATATACACTGTGCACTGTATGCAAATGTTCTGCGTCCATTGAAGCCCGGGTGACCTACTACAGTACATATGCCAAATGTGCAGTATATAACAAAGCACTCGAATTTCCATTTCCAGTGTGATGAAAAGTATAGCCATGATTTTTAACATCTCTTGATTAACTCATTTCATTGAATTGCCAAAAGCTACAATATAGTCAATAAACAAAAATGCAAAATAGATTTTATTGATGGTAACTGGATTAAGATACAACTTGAAAGGAATAGTTCACCCAAAAATGAAAAGATTTGAGAATTGCTGAAAAGATATAGGCCATCCAAGATATAGAAGAGTTTGTTTCTTCATTGGAACAAATTTAGAGAAATGTCATTACATCACTTGCTCACCAATGGATCCTCTGCAGTGAATGGGTGCCGTCAGAATAAGAGCTCCAACCGTTTAGAAACAATTGCAGTAATCCACAAGTAATCAACACAACTCAAATCCATCAGTTAATGTCTTGTGAAGTGAAACGCTGTGCGTTTATAGGAAACAAATATATTTTTAAGACGTTTTAGTCCATGATCAATAATTATGCTTCATCCAGTAAAAAAAATCCATCCGCTGTCCTGTCACATTCAAATCCACTGACATATTTGTTTAGAACAGTTTTGGACTATTTCGCTTGCAAATGGTTATCTACATATTTATTTATTTATTGGTTTATTTAATAGGGACCATGCATATTCATGAACATAGTTGTATAAATATACACCATGTAAATATGCAAGAATTAGTAACAATAACTACTTTTCATCTGCAGTCCCTAGGCAGGTAACATAAAACTAACATAAAGACAGCCAACAATTATACAACATTCATTCACTATAAATGAAAAGATACACATAATGGTGACATATACATTGACAACAAACAACAAAACAAAACAGATTTCTCTCCTGATTCAGACAAGACGACATTTTCACTGGAGAAAGCAATATTTTAAGTAGAGGACTTGCTTGAAAAATAAAAATAAAAATAATTAATTAATTAAACCTTATTAATGTTAAATTTGTTTATTACAAACACCCAGCTTTTAGCATTATAATATAACACACTTTATAATATATCATCTTATAATATATCATTTTTAGATCATAACATAGGCCTACTTTATGCCATAGAGAGAAGAGTGTGGCTCCAGAACACTATGGCCCCTGCGGCCCTTTAAGACGCTCGTTTTGGGAGGCGCTTGAGTTCAGCTCAACACACCCGCCTGACGCTCCTCTCGACGCCCAGGAAGAGAAACCACACATCTGTCGCCGCAAGTTTAAATATGACGATTCATTTTTTGTTTTGACGTGTTTACGTTCCTGTAGCGGTATTGAGGGTAATAATGCTGGATGGTTGGACTAATGAAGTTCAGTTTGGATTTCTGCCGGTTACTGGGGCTCAGCGGTGAGTTTCACTGCATGGAAACTTTGTTTCTGTCTGTCCGAGTTATAAAGTAAGTTTTCCATGAATCAGAGCCGTAAAAAAATCTTCATTGGAACAAATTTAGAGAAATGTCATTACATCACTTGCTCACCAATGGATCCTCTGCAGTGAATGGGTGCCGTCAGAATAAGAGCTCCAACAGTTTAGAAACAAATGCAGTAATCCACAAGTAATCAACACAACTCAAATCCATCAGTTAATGTCTTGTGAAGTGAAATGCTGTGCGTTTATAGGAAACAAATATATTTTTAAGACGTTTTAGACATATTTGTTTAGAACAGTTTTGGACTATTTCGCTTGCAAATGGTTATCTACATATTTATTTATTTATTGGTTTATTTAATAGGGACCATGCATATTCATGAACATAGTTGTATAAATATACACCATGTAAATATGCAAGAATTAGTAACAATAACTACTTTTCATCTGCAGTCCCTAGGCAGGTAACATAAAACTAACATAAAGACAGCCAACAATTATACAACATTCATTCACTATAAATGAAAAGATACACATAATGGTGACATATACATTGACAACAAACAACAAAACAAAACAGATTTCTCTCCTGATTCAGACAAGACGACATTTTCACTGGAGAAAGCAATATTTTAAGTAGAGGACTTGCTTGAAAAATAAAAATAAAAATAATTAATTAATTAAACCTTATTAATGTTAAATTTGTTTATTACAAACACCCAGCTTTTAGCATTATAATATAACACACTTTATAATATATCATCTTATAATATATCATTTTTAGATCATAACATAGGCCTACTTTATGCCATAGAGAGAAGAGTGTGGCTCCAGAACACTATGGCCCCTGCGGCCCTTTAAGACGCTCGTTTTGGGAGGCGCTTGAGTTCAGCTCAACACACCCGCCTGACGCTCCTCTCGACGCCCAGGAAGAGAAACCACACATCTGTCGCCGCAAGTTTAAATATGACGATTCATTTTTTGTTTTGACGTGTTTACGTTCCTGTAGCGGTATTGAGGGTAATAATGCTGGATGGTTGGACTAATGAAGTTCAGTTTGGATTTCTGCCGGTTACTGGGGCTCAGCGGTGAGTTTCACTGCATGGAAACTTTGTTTCTGTCTGTCCGAGTTATAAAGTAAGTTTTCCATGAATCAGAGCCGTAAAAAAACACACGACACATTGCGCTTATCTCACCTTAACGCGCGTTAGTGACCGTGATATATTGTTTTATTATATCAGTCAGTTTTTGTGTAGATATAAAAATGTATCAAAGATATCAGGATGTCAATTATGCAAATGTTGTTTAACTACACGTAACTGCGGTTGTCAAGCGGATAGATGATAATTGTTTCCAAACCTTAAAATCCGTCAAATCCATATTTAGTGTTCAATATAAAAATAATTAGTAAAATAAGATTCTATGTGAGGCTTTAGTTTGGTTTATTCATTGAAACTAATTCAAATACTGAAGAAATCACATGCAACAGGCCTGTGAATCAGAGACACTAAATCTGATTTTAACCGCTGATTAGGCGATACCACTTATTTTGTTTTCCATACAATACCGATATTTTTCAAGGCAGTATCGTCGATATCGATACCGATTCGATACTTCTGAACTAAACTTTTAAATGATGAAATGTATTAAATTACTAAGCGTAAAATGGGTAATGATAAGCACTTAACTTTGTTTAAAACGCATTTTAACATTCAATACGCCTTAATTGTAGGTCATATTTTTGTTTACACATGGTTCAAATATGTTTTTTGTTTACACATGATTCAAATCTATAAAATACTACAGTTGAACTACGGTCACTTTAGTAAAACCATGGTTCATTTTCATAAGGGATGTTGCACGCATAAAATGCAACCTTTTTTATTCGGACAGTGTATGATTTCTATTAACATTACAGAATAGAACATGATCAATATTATCTTTCAACGTTCAATTTAAATAAATGTAATTGTACAAACTATGTAGGCTACGATTTCAGTTTGTTTATTGTGAAATAACTCTGTCCTTCTGTCCTCTGATAAGCATTGCTCAGGGCTGCCGTTCCCAAAAGCTTTAATGCTTTCTTATGATACTTTTGGGAAACGCAGCCCTGTTTGAATGCACTGTCAGAAGTGAGTGAACGCTCTCTGTGATTGATCAGTTCTGTCTTGCAACATTTGCGTGTGTTCAGATGAGCAGGAAAATGGCTCTATCCTACACAATTACAACAAAGGTTGCTAACAAAGGTTATTCGTCCAATTCAATGCATATTGTACGATTTTTTTTGTGTTAAATTCACAATCACTGGTAAATAAAACACACCTTAGTATCGATATTTTCTGTTTGAGTATCGATACTTTCGTCAGTATCGATACGTTGGATCGATACGCCCATCCCTACCGCTGATCATTTCCTGTTTGAGTGTGTTTTTGAACGTTTACAAACCGATTCAGATTGCATCCTAATGTAGTGATAATTTGTAATAATTTCAGTAGGATTGCCTCAAAGGTTGCCTCAAGTCTAAAGGCAAACATGTTTTTTTTTTACAGTTATAAACATAAAGGTTCTTCAGTGTTTCTTAACAACAATACGCAACAAACTTTCTTATCAAGAACCATTTAGGATTTTCAAGTTACCCCTATGGTTCTTTGGAAATTTAACAGAAGCTCTTAATCTAGAAAATACAAGCTTGTAGCATTATTTGGAACATGATTGTTGTTTTTTATCTAGTCTAAGCTGGTATATCATCTTGCTTAAGGTGGGCAAGATGGTTTATGATACATGTTGCTGACTGACCAGCTAGTAGTCCTATAGAAACCTCTTAAAGGGGTCATGAGCTGAGAAATCAAAATTCCTTTGATCTTTTGACATATAAGAGATCACTGTACTATAAAAACATCCTGTAAGTTTCAGAACTCAAAACGTTCTCGTTAGTCTAAAAGCAGCGTCTAAAATCTGCCTAAATGACAGCTTGTGGAATGTGCCACTTTATGATGTAATAGTGTGGCTAAACCCCGCCTCCGCAGAAGATCAACGCCTGCTTCTACAGCACTGCCTGTTTAGCTCTGCCTACTGATTTGTGCATGTTGTATGTAAATAACGAGAGAGGCAAACGCAGGTTTATGCAGAAATCAAACGATAAAGGGACTCAGAAGACAACAAGACTCTGTGCAGTGCAAAGTTGTGAAAAAAACAGTCTTTGCATTACCTTCCTTCTGATCCCAATATTAGGAAAAATAAATTTATTTTTAATGAAGATCCAGTAAGAATTTGGTCCTTTGTTCATTTCATTTTACCGCTGATTACAAACAAGGCACAATTCGACACAGGATTTTCAGAAAGATTGAAACTAAAAGACGATGCTGTGCCGACTATATTGGATCTGACAGTAATGTTGCACCACAAAAGTGTGAGTAGCTGTTTTTATTATGTGGTCACTATTGCTTTGTCTGTTATTACAGATCATTTGATATGTACTTGCTATTTCTGTGTTTTTAACCTAAATCACAGCAGCGTCCAGCTGTGAAGGCTATAGGCTGACAAACATACACAACTGTTAGCCAATCATAGCAGTGGGCGTTTACTTCGAGTCTACAATCCGCCACGCCTATTTAAACGGAGCATTTCGATGAGGGGGTCAAAACAGGGCAGAATAGCCTATTGTAAATGATGATGTTTTTTGATGTAAAAATCTTGATAACAATATAAGTAGACTTCAGAGAACAGTACAAAATATTTTATTGTACCGTATAATAAAAACTTTTATTGTTCCAAAACCCAGCTACCAGTTTCAACAGGATTCTTCAGACAAGGGTTTGGTGTTTGGACTCTTTAAAGCACCATTGCATGGATGGGTTTCTAAAGAGCTAGACAATGAAAATTCTTTGAGGAACTTGAAAAGGTTCGCCTTTGAAATCAGGCTGTATACCCGTTTAGCTTTATTTTTTAATTGTGTGTGTGTGTGTGTGTGTGTGTGTGTTGTCACCATGTTTTTTGTTTACATTTTTTGTATCTGTTGTAATGTTGCAATCTTCAGTACATGAAGTACTGCTAGTTTGTGTTGTCTAATATTGAGTTTTACAAATTTTTTTGGGGGTAGAAATACCACAAACATGCAATCAAATATGTAAATATGCATTAGAGCAGTAGTTCTCAATTCCAGTTCTCATGCTGCGTTCAAGTCCTTCTGGGACGTACGTACTTACGAGTTGACAAGTCGTAATTACGACGTCAGATGCATTCAAGTCCGTTTAGTCTGCACAAGATGGCGGTGTACCTTCTTTTAATAAATTACAAGAAAATACAACAGGGTCTGCATTTTTTTACTTGGATTTCATTAACTGGCTGCGTAACAAGAACATGACCAATTTAAGTTTATAGGACAACTAAACTATAAATTTAAACAAAAATTTACTGTCAACTACAGACGTTTGCATCCATCGATTCCGCCATGTTTCTCATTGACACGCCCCCAACTCAGAAATTCGGGGCTTAAAGAAAATTTTGAGTTTCCCACTCGTAAATAACGACTTTGTGGTGGCGTTCATGTGCGTTCAACTTGTAAATACGATCTATCCGACATGACTTGAACGCACCATGACATACCACTGCTCTGCATATTTTGCATGTCTCTCTTATTTAACACACCTGATTCAGATAATCAGCTGGATAGAAGAGAGCTCCATGCATGAACTGTTCTGATTGACATGGTCCCTACATGGTGTTCATTGCTCCCTACTCCCTCCACGAGGACTGGCATTGAGAACCCCTGCATTAGAGCGTGATCCCACAGTTGCATGGGTTTTTTTTTAAAGAGCTAGAAAATTAAAATTCTTTGATGAAGTTGAAAAGGTTCTCCTATGACATCAGGCTGTAAAACTCCTTTGGCTTTATTTTTAATTATGAGTTTTTGTGTGTGTGTGTGTGTTTTTTGTCATCCTATTCGTTTCCTTTTTAATTTTTTGTATTTGTTTCAATGTTGCAATCTTCATTACATGAAGTACTGCTAGTCTTGTCTAATATTGGGCTGTATTTAAAGTTTGTAGTATGTTTAAAGAGCTAGAAAATTAAAATTCTTTGATGAAGTTGAAAAGGTTCTCCTATGACATCAGGCTGTAAAACTCCTTTGGCTTTATTTTTAATTATGAGTTTTTGTGTGTGTGTGTGTTTTTTGTCATCCTATTCGTTTCCTTTTTAATTTTTTGTATTTGTTTCAATGTTGCAATCTTCATTACATGAAGTACTGCTAGTCTTGTCTAATATTGGGCTGTATTTAAAGTTTGTAGTATGCAAATATGCATAAGAACAAGATCCATCACCATAAAATGCTAAATAGTACATCGTTTTTTTTTCTTCTCTTTTCTACAGGGCTGTTGCTGTACACTGCTATTTGCTTGTCTGTTGCATTTGTAGTAAAATATTCAGATACTTTGTCGCATGGTTCGAGTAGCTTTCAACCTCATTCCGGGTTTTGAAATGAATGTCTTTGTTACCATTGTAACACATCCTTACAGTCCTCACTTGTCTTTTCTGCTGTTACGTGTATTAATTATTTGTAGTATGAATCAAGATTCTCAATTTTAATCAATGGATTGGATTCCATATACTGAGTCTGACTAACAGCAGTGAAAACCGTATCAGTTGGGATCGTTTGCATGATCCAAGGAAGATGTGACTAGCCGAGGGCCACGTGGTTTCTTTATCTTACCAAGGTAAATCAGTTTTTTTTGGACCGCCATTGTCACAAGGCTGTCAAAGTGTGAGATGAGTCACTTTAAGGGAAGTGTGCTAGCCAATGCATCACGCCTCAGATCACGGCCTGCTTCTTGCATACATCTGCATTTGTTTGAGATTTGTAATGTTAGTTTTGCAAGCTGTGTGCATCTCTTTTCTGGATGTGGGATGTTAAGAGTGTGGTAATGGCTAATGGGAGTGATTGAGGATACAGAGAGTCTAATGTGTCTTTGCTTCTCTCTAACAAGGAATCTGTTAACAAGCATATAAAGACTCAAATCCACATCTCTTTCTGAGCCAGGAATATTAGTGTTTGGTTAACAACTGCGAAAAAAAGTGGGACTTGGTGATTCTGTGCTGTTTATGTCAAACAAAAATTGATATTTTGGACATTCTGCAGATGGTTGCTTAGTGTAATGCAGGGCTGTCCAAACTCTGCAGGACACCGGCCCTCCAGGACCGAGTTTCTACAACCCTGTTGTAATGTATCAAAGCCCTGCACTCTTAAAAATAAAGGTGCTTCAAAACGTTCTTCAAGCGATGCCATAGAAGAACCATTTTTAGTTCCACAAAGAACCATTCAGTCAAAGGTTCTTTAAAGAACCATCTCTTTATTACCTTTTTATAATCTCAAGAACCTTTTTTCGCCACAAAGAACCTTTTGTGAAACAGAAAGGTTCTTCAGATGTTAAAGGTTCTTTATGGAACCATTTAGACAAAAAGGTTCTTCTATGGCATCGTGAAGCACCTTTATTTTTAAGAGTGTGGGCTGAATCAAGAATAAAACTATCACTGAATTGTCAAGAATCCCATAAAAGAAAACAAAAACTGAAAAATGAGTCTGAAAACCATCTGCTTACATTAGCTGATGGCAAAATCCAAATCACGGCTGTTGGATGATCTTCAAAGAAAGCATTGCTTTACTAGGCTGCAGTGTAAATGGCTTTCTTGAGGAATGTTTTGAGCTGTGTAGTTCATGTGAGGCCGTGTAGCTTGGAGAAATGACTTCAAGGTCTAATTTTACCACTGCAAAGGAAACTTTAGGCTAGCTGACAATTGAATTGCAGTCTTGCCTGCAAGGATTTTGGGTCCCATGTGTGTTGACTAATAAGTGAGTGCGGTTTTGTTCTCGCTGGTAACTCAGTTTGCCCTGGATTTGGTTGGCTTGTCTGTAGCAAAGATGATGTGAAATTAAATCAGGGTTAACATTTTATAACATAGACCTTGAATTTATGTACGGTAGAGTAACTAATGCAGTTATGGAAGTAAAACCAAGACTTGATTTGGGTTTGTAGCACTCTGATTGAAATGACTGTCTGGCAGTTTTGAAGTTTATGAGAAGTGGTCACAAATGTATGGCATTTACTTTTATTTTGAGTTTCACATGAACATTGACGGTAAGTAATGGACTATAGGAAATGGTCAATGTTGGGATTTGACTGAGTTCTAATACAATTATACAATACAATACAATTACAATCATTTCTGCATTAGCGAACGTTTTAATTCTCACAAAGTGTGATGTTGGCTAATGCTTGACTGATTCGCTTGGCTTGAACTGGACTTTATTGATCGTTTTCTCTCTCGTATCTTTCCACAGGCTCCAGTGATGAGAGCCCAGAGGAGATGGACACAGGTGCCCTCCCCAAGCAGAATGACCACACACTCTCACAGGTACAAGAACAGTGGGCTTTTTTCATGAATTAAGATGTAAGTTAAATAAATAATGAGAGGTCAAAAGACCTGCATGTTTCCCTGTTGTTTTTGAACAAACTGCTTGCAGATGTTTTTTTGACATAGTTCAGTGAGAAATTAAATCTGAAAATAAAGTCTGAAATTTTATTAACATTTAATTCAGGTCTTTTATCTACTATGGCAACTATTCATGCACAATTTCTGCACAATAACCTTAGAGTGTTTATACACATTTAAGGCCACTATAGATACTTTTAATGCTAAAATCTTTGATTAGTGTAACTACCGTTAAAACATTTAGGGGCAGTATGATATTTTTCATTTTTTTATTTTTTTTTTAACTTTTATTTGGCAAGGACAAAATAAATTATTCAAAAGTAGCGGTAAAATCATTTATAATTTTACAAAAAATTATATTTCTGCTACATGATTTTCTTTTTATTAATTGAAAAACCCTGAAAAAAATGTATGACATTTTCCACCAAAATATTAAGCAGCCCAGCTGTTTTCAACATTGATAATAAAGTGATTTCTGAAGAATCATGTGACTCTGAAGACTGGAGTAATGATGCTGAAAATTCAGCTTTGCCATCACAGGAATAAATTACTTTTTAAAGTATATTTAAATAGAATCAGTTACTTTAAATTGTAATAATATTTCACAGTATTACTGTTTTTACAATTTTTTTATCAAATCAATGCAGCCTTTATGAGCATAAGAATCTTTAAAAATTGTATCAACCCCAAACGTTTAAATGGTAGTAAATACAAATACAGTAAATAAATTTTTTTTATTTGCATGTTGAGGTAAACCTGCTTCATATATCTACCAAAAATTTACCAGTTGGTCAAAATCAATAGTACAGATGAGTAAAAACAAACAGTTCAGAGAAATGTATAGAATCAGCTTTTCCAGATGCCAATTGATATTTGAATGCACTGCAAAGGCACTGATACTCATAAGTATGACTTTAGGTGTCCATATATTTTTTTGGGCTGTTGTAGGTATCTTGGCAAAACATTTGGTCTTTGGTGTTTTTGTTAGTGCATGAACATTATCTTCTAGTCGTGCCTCAACATATCAGTTGGGTTAAGGTCAGGTCAGTGTGCTCCAAACAGAGATACTCCCAGCATATACTGTGCAGCTGCTTTGAAGCTCTTTCGTTCCAAGAAACTCCGTGTATTATTTTGGTGAATGTTTCGCATTCATGCTGGAACTTTCAAATTGTCTTATCGGTCCATGATAATGTGCATTCTTCACTGATTGTAACATTACAGAGTGTAAGAGTTGTCTTCTGGCCCATAGCTTTTCCCCTGCGGTCGTCTTGATTTCAGCATCATTACTCCAGTCTTCAAAGTCACACGATCCTTCAGAAATCATTCTAATATGCTGATTTGGTGCTCAAAAAAACAAAAAAAACGTAGGTGCAGCTTTATGTGGAAACCCTAATTTTTCATGATTGTTTGATAAATAGAAAGTTCAGCATTTATTTGAAATATTTATTTGTAACGATGTAAAAGTCTTTACTCTCAAAGTTCTTGTTGGTTATGGAGTTGGTTGTCAAGTGTTGTGTTTTTCATTACTACTGTATTTATTTATTTTATGAATGTATTTATTTATTTTAAAATACATTGATCTTTCCCTGAAAATAGCCATAGATGCTGGTATAGCAATAAAAACAAACAAGTATTCAAATGTGATGATTTTTTTTTTTTCTGTCAGGGGGATGAGAATGCTGGAGCTGATTCTGAACTTGATGAGTCTGAGGAGTCTGAGCCAGAGGAGGTGGAAGGTATAGGCCTTTCAAAGGTGGAAGAGAAGCCTGTTGCTCCTTCAAGTAAAAGTTCTTCTGGACCTCCGCTGGCATCAGGGAACAAAAGCAACCGGCAACCGACGGCCCGGTCTAGTGAGGAGGTACGAAAACTGAGCCAACCATACTGTTCCTGCTGATGGACGTCAAGAGTTTGCTATTTGAATGTTTAATTGTTTAAATTACTTACTTTGACACGGTTTCTACATTTTAGGACCCAGGGTGGGATGTGAATAGTGCTTTTGTTGCCAATGCTGTCAGTCATATTCGACCCAAAGCTAAAAGTAAAGGAGCTCACAAGTCGAAAGAGAACAAGGAAAATGAGAGCAGAACAGGAGAAGTGAGTTTTGGTAATTGTTTATTTAGTGTCCTGTGTTTTGTTGCCATCGGTCGGCTGCCCATACACTTGTGTCGTAAAGGTGGAGCCCATAAATGACAAATGACCTGGGCATTGGGATTCTTGGGTATTAACATAGTTTATAAATCTGTAGGTGCTGTCACTTTGGGCTTATAAGAATTTTTTTTCAGCTGGTAGTACTGCCACTGTCCCGACAGATTGCTTGTTTCATTGTACTATAAATGTAGCCTTTATCCACCAAGCCCAATTGTGTTGTGCTTTTAAAACATGTTGAGTTTAAAATAGTCTGTTTTCTTTTAAATAAATGGTCATTGTTGTTCCAAACTTCAATTAATTCTTTGGAAAACAATTTCATAAATTGCCTTCAGAAGTCTAGTCCACATTCACTTTCATTATTTGAAAAATATATTCCAGTATGTTCTTCAAAAAGAAATAGGTTTGGGAAAAACTTGAAAGTGAGCTAATGACCTAATTTTCATTTTTTAGGTAAACAGTTCTTTAACAATATTTCAAATGCTTCACAGTAAATCACATGCTTTCACATTTAAGTTTCACACAGTTTTTAGACAGGAATATCATAGTCAAACATTTTGTCCTGTTATTCTTCACTTGTATATTTATGGAAGAAAACAATGACAAATGTCTTTGAAAGAAAAAAGCATGTTGAAGCGAATCTGTAAAGTGAAATAAAATTGACCGAAAATTGACTGTCAAATATAATATTACTCGTATCGTATTTTTAAACCGATTGAATATTTCAGAAGTGAACTCTGGAAGGTGAATATGGATTATTGAATTGAAATATTCACAGCTTGAATGTACAACTATATTGAATTTCAGCCCCAAAAAATGCAAGGCTTTAAAATGCAAGCACTGGTAATGCAATGCATTATTTTTTCAGTGCAATTCAACATGTTTTTTTTGTTTCAAAGACCATTTGTCATTATTTTTCTTCCATACGAGTCCTCCTTTCTCTTCACTCCAGAAAAAGGGATTCGATTTGTTCAGGAGGGTCAGTACACGCAAGCTCTTAGTCTGTTTACAGAGGCCATCAAATGTGACCCGAAAGACTACAGGTGATGCACTGATATGCATGAAATCCTATCCACATATACTACTTTTTTTTTTTTTTTTGTCATTTCATTAATGGACTTTGATTTTTGGATAACAGGTTTTTTGGAAATCGCTCCTACTGCTACTGTTGTCTGGAGCAGTATCCTCTGGCCCTCGCAGATGCTGAGAAGTCCATCCAAATGGCTCCCGATTGGCCCAAAGGCTATTACCGTAGGGGAAGTGCATTAATGGGACTTAAGGTACAACCCAGTGGCATATTCATTGGTTTTTCTTCTTGTATATGGAGGAAATCTGCATATAGCTGTGTATCAGTTAATCTGTATGTGGGTTTGTTTGTTATAGAGGTACTGTGAAGCTGAGAAAGCCATGGAACAGGTGCTAAAACTGGAC